ATTTCAGAGGTTGTCAAGGGTGTGTAAGTGAGTCTCACAAGTACAGTATATCATGAAATGCTGCAGGTTTTTGTAAGTAGGTTTTGTAGTAGATGGATTTTTTAAGTAATTTTTTGAAGCAGATGGATTTTGTAAGTAAGTTTTTGCAGCAGATGGATTTTGTAAATTTTACAGCTGATGAATTTTGTAAGTAGATTTTGCAGCTAATGGATTTTGTAAGTAGGTTTTGCAGCAGCAAATGGATTTTGCAAATAGGATTTTGTAAGTATTCCATCCAGACGCATGAAGCATATAGGTAAGTCACACACCTGGTTGATTCCATAAGAAAGTCATACAAGCAAGTGAATTGAGTAAGCGAGCCATGCAACAGCTGGACTTTGTGAGTAGCAGTAAGTGGACTATAGCAACTGCCCGACTAGTCATTACGGGTGGAAGCAAAACCGAGGCTTTTCTAGACCTACTCCCACCCACGTGACGCCGAGGAGAATGACTCCACAAAACTATTCCAATTTAGAGGTCCAGACACAAAGCTAGTTACAAGGAGAAGGTAGAAATCTCAGTAAAATTATAAGCTGCAAATATATGTAAAATTTTGAAGAGAAATACTTGGATGAATCAGTTCACGTCAGGAAAGTATTTTTATTCTTGCAATATTTTGTATAGAATATCAGGGAGAAATTGGCTATGTAGTTACCTAACCACAAGATAGTTTCTTGTTACAGATTAATCAGTCATTTTTGTTGTTAAAATTTTTATCTGATGTATCATTGAATATTCTGTTATGTATCTTCACTGACATTACATAGGCTCAGATATCATCAAATATTATTCAGTGTCTTGTCCAAAGTATCTGAGATATGTGTTATAGTAATATTAGTATATTTGATACATCTATATATATACATACATATATATACATATATACATATAAATATATGTATATATATATAGATATAGAATCATATATATTGTATAAATATGTGTTTATATATTCATATGTATATATGTATATATATTGAAAGGTTTACTCTATGAAAAAAAAATGTTTTGAATGACAGTCCATCTTGAATTTAATACTTAAAATTAGCAAAATCCTTTTCCTCAAATTCCTTGTGTCTGCACTACACACGCTCCCAAGCCCTACGTTATCTCTCCCTCCCTCTATTTCGCACCGAAATCTCTCCTCCGCCGCACACTCACGCCCTCCGCCTCCTTCCCTGCTTCCACTTGCCCTCTTGGCACCCCCCCCCCCCCCCATGGCGAGCGCTGTCCGCCGCCCCTTTATCTCTGAGTCATGTCGCCTCCGCCTTGCAGCAAGGACGTCCGCCTCCCGGTGCAGCTGCAGCGCGCCATGGCCGCCGAGGCTGAGGCCGCCCGAGAAGCCCGCGCCAAGGTGATCGCCGCCGAGGGAGAGCAGCGCGCCTCCAGGGCCCTCAAGGAGGCCGCCGAGGTCATCAACGAGTCGCCGGCCGCCCTCCAGGTACACCCTCGTCCCTCACTTCCCTCCCCCCCACCCCACACCTCCAGACCTCCCCCAGACCCGGGTCAGCTCCCCCAGTGTAGCGCCACGAGTCCCTGTGTCCGTGTGTCCCCGGGCGCCTGAGCTCTCACACTGGCGGTGGCACCTGACGCGGAACACTCACACGATAGGCACCACCGCTTCCCCTAGGACTTGCCGCCACACTTTTCCTAGCTCTAAACAAGTCTGTATATATAGCTATAGGAGAGATAGATATATTTTTTTAGGGAATGAATAAATATATCTTTCTTCAATTTTTTTTTCTCTAGAGGCATGAATGTTTAGTTATTTTTATATTTGAATATATACAACTTGTTAGCCTTGGTCAAAGTTACTACTGTGATAATGTAGCGTCCCTGGTGGTACCATGCCTTTTGCTACCTGACTTCTTGCCATCATCAATCGAGGCAAACAGATAGATCACATGGCAGCACAATTACACCGCTGAAGTGCCTCCCCACCCCCCCTCCCCTCCAAAAAAAAAGAAAATCACAGGTGCCATCCAGGTGTGAGCGGCCGAGCACCTGCCTGTCCGCGTCCTTCACAAGTGTCGTCCCTTGAATCTTGAGATGTCAGTGACTGAACTGTTCTAGCTTCTCATGCTTTTTTGTCTTATGATGCCCGTATGCGTGTCTTTAGTCTGTACTTTCATCTGTATGCACACATGAGCGTCCTTTCTTTCCTTTTTTCTTTTTTTCTTTTTTCTTTTTTTTCTTGGAATTGTGAGGGTTTTACAGGTACACACAACTTCGCCTTTGACGTTCCTGGACGCCCAAAGGCGATGAGTGAGAGTCCGAGGGGGCCAAGGGAGAAGAACCAGTGCGTCGTCCAGGGACCTACGCCCTCTCTGCCTCCTCCCGGGGGAGCGTTGCGCCTGCACACCCTGCCTCTTGCATACTCAGAGGGCGGAATCGTGCTTCCCCCGGCGAGAGGAGGAAGGAGAGAGCGCGGCAGTATGAGTATGTGAGCGCTCATCCCCCT